TCTCTCTCTCTCTCTCTCTCTCTCTCTCTCTCTCTCTCTCTCTCTCTCTCTCTCTCTCTCTCTCTCTCTCTCTGGACCCGATAGCTATGTCGAGTTAATTAAAGACTCCGAGCTAGTAGTAATCGGGTATACTTCGTGGATCGCGTTTCTGTCTGGCAAAGCGTTATCTTGATGGCACGGAGAGATCTATTTTCTTTCTTTCTGGTCTATATAACGCACAAGATCTCTCTCTTTCTTTCAAAGATCTTGCAGATGTTCCTCTCGTCTTTCAAAACCGCACGTTACGTGCGTGTGGATTATTACATTGCTCTATCGGAACAGCAGAAGTAACGAGACTTAGTTTGACCGGCGGTTTTGCAACTGCCGGAAGAACAGTGCGGTTCAAGACTAATTGTTAAACTTCTCGAGGAAACTTGAGGCTATATCTTTGCGACTTGACGTGCCCGGTTTAATAATGCAGACGGCCGGTGTGTACCTGTCCAGACCAGCGAACTGTGCTTCACGGAAACATTGCCGTCTAAGGCCCGGTTTCACCATTGCGTTGCTTAATCTTAGCTTAATTCACGTTCGCCTCTCTCTAGAATTGGAAGGAGGCGAAGAACGAATGAAGCTTGAAGCTAAGCTTGAAGCTACGTGACGTTGGTAGAACCGGGTCTGACCAGCTATCGAATCTCACGATTGTACTCGTCAAGTTCTTAACGATCCTTTAGACCTTTAGAGACTATTGCGACAGTCACGGGAGAATATTGTGAGATACTACTGCCAAATTGATCCTCCTCTCTTTCTCCGACGAAATGGACGCGCGTCTAGACGTACCACCCTTGAGGGCTCCCCTAGCTTCCCCGTTAATAGTACAACAGAGAACGAAAGGACGAGGAGACGAGAGGGAAAGAGAGATTTCCGGTGTAGGCGACGATCAAACGATTCCTAATCGTTTTTACATGTACACCTAAAAGATACGCGTCACGCGAGTAGCTTGTACCGATACGTTCCCTGTAACTGGACCACCATTGTCGGACTAAAATAAGCGCAGGCCGGAGTTACTTCATTCGACGTTTCAAACTGATTCCATGATGGTTTTTTTGTCTCTTTTATTTCCTCGCACGCCTCATACGCCTCTCCGGTGTCCCAATAATGGAGATCCGTCTTGCAAGCGACAAAGACGTAGCGTAACACTCGAAATAATTGGCTTCCTAGCTAGGATTAAAGGAATCTTAGGGTTATACATTTAATGGGGATGCAATGATAAACGGATACAAATACCATAGTAGGCTGTATATACCGGCATATGATAGATAATAAGTGTCGATCGTCTGCTTAAGGAGAAACCGAGATATTATCTGTTAATTGTTCGTGCGCACGTCTCCGCCGATGTTACCAAGTGGGACGCTTTACGTTGACCCTATCTGTCGCAGTTGAATTTACGTGTCTCGAAATTTGGCGTTTCACATGTCCAAGTATTAATTACACTAGTCTGGAAAACAGGGTAATTATTAATCTCGAGCAGTTGCCCGACCATCCTTGGGCCACTATTAGCGAAGTAGAATACTTGTGCGTTGTCGCCAAGTAAGACACTTGACTCCTTTCGTTCTCAGCGCAAGAAGAGATTCTTTTGCCGACAACGCGCAAGCCCGATCATTCTTTCTTAATCAGACCATCGAATTATTGTTGAATGTAATAATAATGTGAAAGCTTACACCTCGCAGACACACAGCCTCTGCCACTAAGTGTATATAAAGATGTTACATACAGAAGGTAGAGAGGGACTAACCGTTTTTTAATTAATTAGTCGAGAGAACGTACGTATTCGGAAAGAAAAACAAAACGGACATAATGAAACCTATATCACATTCCGGAGAAACGAGATAACTTGATTTCGCTGGACTTTCAGTTGTCGTATCAATGTACCATCTACCAGAAAGAAGAGCAAAACGAGCGAAAGGTTCTAGGGCGTTTATACTTTATTCGGGCGATATATTTCCTGATGTTATACAACCACACTGCAAGAAAGACTTCAAAGTTCAAACGAGCGTAGCGATTTGTAACGGAGTGGTATCTAAGTGTAATATACAAATTGAAGTGGACGACGGGGAGCTTTGAATAGTGCCTGCTTAAAACCCAATTTATTATATATCTCAGACAACTAGGTATGGTCGAACAATTAGCCGTTTGCGGCATTGCACGTCGGATCGGTCAGCATGAGATGGCAGTCTACAAAAAAAATGCGATCTTTCTTTGGCCGAGGCGAAGGAGTAGATACGAGTTTATATACAGCCTGTATATAATCATATTTTCTATTGTTGAATAGCGTTGAACATAATCGCTGGCGAGATCTGTCCGATAGCGAATCCGGTTGCTCGCACTAGTGCGCACACTTAGGCTTGTTTACGGTCAATTTTTATATTTAAGGATCGTCTTAAATATCTCTTGAGATTTTTCTTAGCCACCCAGCGAGAAATGACTCGGCATCGTTTCGACATCGAGTCATTTCTCGCTGGGCAGTAAAATGATCTAGCATCCAAATACGGATCATGTTTTGGCTAAATACTCTTTGAACATATCCCAGTGAGAAATGATTCGTTGAAACGATGTCGACGTCGATTCAACATCGTTTCGACATCGATCGACGAGTCATTTCTCGCTGGGTATATTTAACTTTGCCTTAAATACCTGTTCGGAGTATTTAGCCAAAGAATGATCCGTATGAATGCTGTAGCGGATCGTTTTTGCCGGCTAAAAATATTTCCAAAGATATTTAAGATCCTGAAATATAAGAGTTGACCGCAGACAAGCCTTAACATGCATTCAGTGCGCACTAGTGCAAGCAACCGAATTCGCTATAGGATAGAGTTAGATATAAGAATTGACTATAAACAAGCCTTGGTGTGCATTTCAGTGCGCACTGGTGCAAGCAACCGAATTCGTATATAAATGTTATTCAATGTTTCAACGGAAGGTATCTGACGGTTAAACATACGCTCGCACAAATATGACACAGAGACCGATTTCCCGCTGTGATCGCGCGGCTCCTTGACCAATCGATCCGCTTCCGCCACGTGTGCGATGTCGCAAACGAGACATTTCATATAGAGTGATCGTAGCGCGATACCGGAAGAAGAGTATGCACACTTAAAAAACAAGCTTTGACTACCTTAATATTGTATAAAGACGACACACACGCGACGAAGAGAAAAAAAAAGAGACAAGAGTGTATCTCAAGACTGTTAGCGAAGAGGACGGCGAACACGAGGTAATTAACACGTAGTTACAAGCTACAATCGAGCTCAATAGCGCGTTTACGTTGGTGAAAACCTTTCATAATATCGTATCGACAAGCTTGCGTATCTGTATTTAATTTACGTTACCGGGATACGTCGCCGGTTACGCCGGGCCGTATTTCATAGGTTTGCTATTCTCTAAAAGCGTTTGTTAACATACACCCATACTCTTCCCCTATTCTACGCGAGATTTCCCATTATTTGATATTATTAAATGTACATAAAAAAATGGAAAAAAAAGGTGGTAATTGTATATAAATACTGTTACTGTTCTACAAAACTATATTATGTAATATGAATATATAAGAAGAAATTGGTTATTTAGTATAACTTTGATTGTGAGATTCTTGACTTACGTTTATTTTCGGCTCCCCCACCTGCAGTACGGTGTCCAGGACTGACGCGCCGATCACTGTCTGAATAAGACGTCGGCATAAGTATATGCTTCAAGTAGAGATAGCGGAATCAACATATTTTAACGCCGCGACAGCCTCGAATGTTACGATAAGGCGTATCGCTAAAGTGACTCCTCAACGTCGCTTTCTGAGTGCGTTTCTTTTTAGTTTATTTTTAAGGGCGAGTTGACGTTTCGGGCTTACCGGTTTTTGCTTCGCCACTATCGATCGTACGGAAGCAGGTCTTACACGGGCTTTCCGAGACCTTTCGCAGAGACTCAGGGCAATTTCGGCCGCGACCTTGGCATTATTCTCTATGAGAGCCATGTCTGTAAAATCATCACGAGGCGTGCATCAATTATATTTTACCGCATTGTTTAACGTCGTACTCCCGCCTCTGTTTACTCACTCGCTTCGAGAGACCGACCGCGCGTGATCTCGTTGAGCTCGCTCAGAAGGAACGGCGTCACCTGCTTGCCCGTCACGCGCATATCACCAGCTTTCTTTAAGGCCTGGGATATAGCGGCGTCCACGGCGCTAGGCTGCAACGCGTATTTTTCGGGGATAGAGACTGCAAATAATATCCCCGTGTTGAGGCCCAGTACCCCCTGCGTCTCCACGATACCAGCTGCCTCCTCCGCGTTGGAGACTCTGCACGGCGCTTGTAGCTTGTCCGAGGTTGCGGCACAGTAGAAGGCTGGAAATTCCGGCGTGTCGCCTATCTTGACGACCGGTACTCCCTGGGTTTCCTGCGAGCACAAGAGCCGTCTTTATACGTTCAATTTCTGGGGACCAAGGGGTGTCGCACGAGTCGTGCAAGCGTGTTTCACGTATCTACCAGGTACTCCAAGGTCCTGCCAATGTCCAGGATGGATTTGACGCCGGAGCAGACAACCGCCACCGGCGTGCGTCCAAGTTCAACCAGGTCCGCGCTGATGTCGAGAGTCAGCTCGGCGCCCCTGTGAACACCGCCGATACCACCTGTTGCCATTATCGGAATGCCAGCTGCGTACGCGATCAGCATCGTCCCGCTGACCGTCGTGCCGCCGTTCAGTCCGCGCGACAGAACGAAGGCGATGTCCCTGCGTGAACATTTCACAGTCCTTGCCGGGTCAGCGTTGGCCAAGACCTCCAACTGCTCGCTGCTCAGGCCTACGTGTATCTTCCCGTCTATAATGCCTATCGTGGCAGGCACGACGCCCTGAAACGAGAACAACCCTGTAAGCGCTGTTGCGATCATTCGAGCAACAGGCTCGTTTTAGTCGATAGACAAGTCCTGTCGGTTGCACGCGTGCTACGAAGAGAAGGAAGGAAGCGCGTCCCGGAGTCGTGTCCTGGACTCGTGAATTCGTTCGCGAGAGAAACGTACGCGCCACTTGTGCTCTTACAGAGAAGTCGCGTGGTTGAAAGCCACGCGCTCCACCAGTCAGCTTGCAACTTTTCTGCAAGGCCCCAAGGAGAAAAGTCAAACCGACGTCAGTTCAATGTCACGTTGACCAAATTATGACATCCCTGGCAGCACAATATATCGGCGCAATATTGGGAAATAATGCAACTCTAGTATCCCCAATATTGGTCCACTGTTAGATGGACGCCTGTTCTTATTTGGCCAATATTTAGCAATATTGGTCTAATATTGCGTCAATATTAGACCAATATTCTTATTACATTGTTAAATATTGACCAATGCACTTGCAATATAAATCTAACATTATATAATTATTACTATGCAATATTTACATTTATTCCACGGCCAATATTGGCTTCACGTTGAACCAAATCAGCCAATGCATTTCTAGTATAACCAACATTGGTCCAATATTTAGCCAATGTTTAGCCGATGCACTGCGCTACGTAGGTACAAGTTTGGTCGATACGACGATCGAACTGACTCCTCGCTTCTCCTTGGGCCGAGCGGGATTTGCGTGTCGCGTTTACTCCTGCGAATAAACTGAAAGGGGGCCCCCAGGTGCTGCGTATACAAACTTGCATTCTGATCGCGTCCTCGACCCTCAGCGCGGTGTTCAAGTTATCGGGGTACGGCATGCCGTGCGTGACGATGGTCGATTCCAGTGCCACGACGGGCAGGCCGCGCCTCCGGGCCGCCGCGACGTCGGGCCCGTAGACGAGCGACCTCCGCTGGATCGCCGGCGCGCCGGCTCTCCTCCACAGCTTCGCCGCGAGATCGCTCAGACGATGCATGCCGGCCGGGATGGGCGCGCGAGAACGAACGAACGAACGACACCTTCGGCGCGAGTTATCCCTTAGCCGCGCGATAAGGCGGCAGTGTCGCGATAAAATGTTGTAAACTAAATCGAGATAAACGGCATCCCGATCGGGCGCGAGCGCCGATACGCGGCGGCCGGACAGTACTTAATTTATACAGTCGTTTTCTCGCCGTGCTGTCCGACGGAGTCGCGCTACGATCTTTATTCCCGTTCCGTTCTTATCCCCTGTCGCGCCTCGTTCTCGATCGCATCGCCCGGCGACGACGTGGCCGTCCCTTGCCGCTGCACCGCGGCGCACGTTCTGCCCTTCGAACGAAAAATGGATGCATATGGGTTCGACGTATCGGGGCGAAAAAGAGGGGAGAAGCAAAGTACAAAAGATTCGACGATTCAAAGAACGCGTTCCCTCGTCGTTCGACTCGATGACGTCACGTTACGTCCTACCGCTTGAAGTTGCTCAAGATTGAGAGTCGAGCGCGCGCGCGCGAAGTTTTAGATGTTCATGCGTCGTGAAAACGATTCGTGACTCCGCGCTGAGAGTTTTGCATCTTCGACGCGCGCGGAAGTTTTCGTTTATGCGAATGTGTATTCGAGTATTCGTTTGCCGATCTTCACCTAGATCGTTGCTCTTTAAACACGTGGAGAATCGTACGTTAGGTTAGGTTAGGAAATGAGCGGCACGTGCGTACATACACTCGAAGAAGATTTTGGAACCCACGATCTAAATGCATGTTTCTGAACTCATTAAAAAAAGTGCTGCAATCCCCAGAGCGAGAAATGGCTCGTCGATCGATGTCGAAGCGACGTGTCGATCGACGAGTTCTTTCTCGCTGGGGAACTGCACTCGCACCGAACTTCACCCTCTGCGAGTCCCGCTGCGCGTTTCCTTCCCCAGCGATTGGCTGATCGGTCGACCGCTGGAAGAGAAGGAGGGGCAAGTTTACTCTCGTCACGCTTGTAAAACAAAATAGCACTTTGCTCCGAAAATAGCTCGCGCAGCATTGAATTAATTATCGAAGATAATTTCGAGCTTCTCAAATCAACAGTCAACGGCGCTTAAATATCTATTATCGTTCATCTATTAATATAGATGCGACGAACGCGCGAGCTTAAGTGCGCCTCTAATGCGCATAACTTCATGCGTAAGACGGTTTTTCGGCGCCAAATGTATACGTTCCTCGTTTCGTATGAGAGTCGAGACTTTTTTTTATTTAGTGCGAGTTTCACAAACGATGGTTAATTGATAAGAGCTCTTTCTGACTTCATTATGTTGTCTTTCTGAGGGTCTTTTTGGATGTCCAAATCTTAAATGAGAGAACATTAAGAGATCTTGCTATTATCATCTTTGCTGTCTAAGTAACAATATATGAGAACTGCGCGCCGACGATTTAAGTCACGATAGGTGGCATACGGGAATCAACATTAGACTGTTTATTGCGACGAATATTTCCATATGCCTCGGTGGTCGAATTGGTTGAGACGCCCGTCTAGCGGGAGGTCCAGGTTCAAACCCTGGCTGAGGTGATATTTTTTCGCAATAAATGTAGAATGACATATTTGGACACTAACACCCTGTCACGGCTCTCAGTCCCTTATTCCTTCAAATTTGTGTTTATCACATTTGAGCCATACGAAATTTATTAACAATATATGATTTGTATTCGAACCATCTAGATTCGAAATTGTCGAACGGTCGAATAGTTCAATTCGAATCGAGCCGGACTCGATTCGATTCGATGTTTATTCGAACAGTTTGCGCATATCCGCGCAATTTCTCAAGTATTTATGGTACGAGCTGCGTAGAAAATAATATTGATTTAACACGTATCGTTCGCCCGACGCTCCGCTATCTCTCTAGTTCTCGGGAAGAAAGATAAGCGCGTGAAAAACCGCGGGGCCACCACGGGGAAAAATGTCGCCGGCGAATAATAATCTGCTGATCATTATTTAATAGATTAATCATATAGATATCCGGACCGCGCATGCTGACAATTCATTATTTACGTATTGCGACGATCCCATCGATTTGACGTCAGTTTTCGGGAAACGGATTTCGCGCGCGTATCGACATATTTCCCAATATGGTTTCCGCGTAATTGGAGCAGGCCACGATTGAAGATGACCGACGCTTCTCGGAACGGCGACGAAATTCTCGGATCGATTGCCAACAAAATTGCAACACGGTTTTCCTCGGTCTTCCTTCTGTTCCCCGGAAGTCTTTCTCTCGACCTTCCTCGGTAGCGCAAGTGCACGGACCGAAACGTTGATTAAACGTTGGCCCGATACGACCAAATATCGAGTCGTATACGTTCGGCCGATGCATTGTGCTATTAGGGCTCTCGCCGAGATTAACGTTGTCGACGTTAAAAGCTCGCTCCGCGGTCTCGCCGTCTCGGCGAGAGATCACGAGATCATCGGGTCAACTTCGATCGCGTCTGGATGGAGGAGTGCGACGTTTCTGCGCGCGCGAGATTGGATTTTTCTCGACGAGGCTTCGAAGTTTCGAGTTCAAGGGTGGCGAAAGCGCAGTGGGATGCGACTTTCGGACGCGACGCTTATTCCTCGACCATATATATCGGCGCCGTCGTGCGGCGCGTAAGTACGACGCCGATAGTCTTGTTCCGAGGTGTACACGGCGAGATATGTCGCCGTTCAAGGAGCCGCTCTCCCGCATGCCAAGTGACGATAAGTATTCGCTCAGTAGATCGATGAGGGGCAGGAAGTCGCCGGGTGACGCGAGGGATATACGCACGAATTTCAGTGAGAATGACAAAAGGTACGGTTCCCTCCTATCGTTTTTCTCTGGACGCCCCGTAAAATGAACATATAAGCGAACAAATCGATGAAAGGGACGAAGGTGATAAAGAAAAATTGTAGTGGCAAGTACAACAGGTTTCTTGGCATTTCACGAGGCGATTTTTGTAATTATTCCAACTTTTATGTACGATTGGCCGATCGAGTTGCACGAGAGAGATAAAAAGAAAGAGAGAAAGAAGAATCTCGGCGCTCGGCTACTTTTGCACGAGTCGTCGCGTCTTATTTTGCCCGCGGGGATTAATTACGATATCGATACAGTAAGTTTAGACGCGACGGAAAATAGACTGATTGCGATTTAAATTTAAAACCCACTTCGGGCGACCCAATAATTTGTCGAGGAAAGAAAAATGTCACTTATAGCCGCCACTGATGATTAAAAATTAAAAAGTGAGCTCATTGCCAACCCGACTGGCAAATTTTATTGAATTCGTTACAACGTTTCGATCTTACCTCGGGTCCTTTTCAAGTAACAATACAAATAAGAAAACGAGAAAAAATTCGTAGACAAGCGAGTCTTATCGTAGACAAGCGAGACTTATCGTCATCCGTGAGATAGAACCGAAAGATAAAGCACATTCGAACATTACGGTGGTTCGATTTAAACGTTAAAACGGTTTGCTTCACTTTTTAACTTAATAATTTGTGTCCGAATTCGAGACAAAATTCTATTTATAATTTTATATACCGCGTAGTACGAAAGAGACACTTAGCCCCGTTTTCACCAGCGTCGTTTAACATTGATCTCGGTTTAATTCACCCTTCGTTTTTTTCTCCTAACTGTCTCCTTATGTCCATTTCCACCAATGCAGATTAGCTCGGTTTAGCTTACTTTTTATCTTTTTCTAGTTGCAGGAATTGGAAAAAGAGAAAAACTTAGTTGAACTGGGGTTAAAGTTAATCTGCATTGGTAGAAGTGGACATTAGGCCCGGTTTCACCAAACGTCGCTCAACTTTAATCTTAGATTAATTCATGTTTGCCTCTTTTTAAAGTAACAGTTGGAAAGAGACAAAGAACAAATGAAGCTGAGCTTAAAGTTAAACAACGTTGGTGCAATCGGGCCTTGGGGGGGACAAAAGATGATTTAAACTAGGATTAAAATTAAATGACGTTGGTGAAAGTCGGGGTCAACAAATCAGGAATGCGCACATGTATATACCTAGATATGAACATACGCGCACGTATCAAAGTGCACAAGTACGCAGCGCGTAAAATTATATAATACACGGAACGTCTGTCTCGAAATCTAACGCGAATTGTAGATCGTCTAAAATGGGCTCAAATATATAAACTGTCCCTGTAGCGCGGTTTAAGATACCTACAACTTTTCACAACTTTGCGTATCGTAATTTTTACCAACGTAATTTTTAGCGAAAATCAATGGTCCACTGTCAAGTTTAATAACAACGAGTGCTCCAGAATATTATAACAATATTACAATTAAAATTCTTGCCATAGCATTACGCTTCACATTACGAGAAAATGTGAAAAGGAATGTTACATAATAATCTGGGCATTATGAGAAAGCAATGTGAAAAGGAATCTTGTGTTGTATAATATGTTCTCTGTGTAACGAGTAAAAATGAGGAAGAGTGTAGGAAGCTTGCGAGCGAGATCTAACAATATATAAATTCGGAGGGAATTCACGTTTAGGGGCGATTACGAATTAGGCGCTTACGGCTACGGCAAGAACAATGTCAAGTTGTTGTACGTGCATCGGGACAACGAGTTGCACCACAAGATTCGCGAGTACGAGGTCGACACGCACCTGCGTCTGAGCTCGCAGAGGGATTACCTCGAGGGCGACAATCGCGACATCATCGCGACGGACAGCCAGAAGAACACGGTGTACCTGATGGCGAAGAAGCACGGCATCCACTCGCCCGAGGCATTCGCGCTTCTGCTCTGCTCCCACTTCCTCTACATGTACGAGCAGGTGGAGGAAGTCAGCATCAACGTCGAGGAGTACCCGTGGGCCAGGTACAACGTTGACAACCGGCCGCACAATCACGCCTTCATTATGTGCCCCACCGCGACGAGATTCTGCCAAGTCAGCCAGCTCAGAAACGGTACGACTCGACAAAGGATGGATCTCGCGCGAGATTGATCTGGACAGGGGAAAAGTATAACGCAGTTGGAAATCGCGTTGATTAAATCAGAAGTAGAAACTACCACACGCTTGACATTTTGACAATAAGATAATCGTGGGAGCTATTTTACATTTTCAAGTAGACTTATTGTTGTAGCGTTAACTTTTCATTCCCAGTCCCTGGACGACTTCTTTTTGGTGTCACTCTTGCAAGGGAGTGACATCGGGTCGACAATAGGATCGCGCGTGAAATATTTGGGAATGTTCTTGGTTTTTATCTGCTTGAAATCTTTTTTACTCGACATTACTTTTAGCTCTATTTAAATGTGTGTTGATACGTTTCAACGTATTTGGCAGAAACGTGCATTTGGCATTCTATTTTGGAGAGAACATTTCATAAAGCTTACTACAAAGTCAGAAAGTTTGCAATTATTTGGACAAGCGGGGAAAATTAACCTGTTAATTTGTCATTCGGATTTAATTAATTCGGTTTTAGAATCGCCACGAATACGCGGTGGTTTAAAGGGGCTGCGAGTGTTGAAGACCACGCAGAGCTCGTTTACAGACTTCATTCAGGACGAGTACAGGACGCTGCCGGACATGAACGATCGTATTTTCAGCACCGTCGTCACGGCGACCTGGGACTTCTCCACCGCGACCGGGGTGGACTTCGACGGCGTGTGGTACATGGTGAAGGAATGCATTATGCAGAATTTCGCGGGTCCACCGGACACGGGCATCTATTCGCCCAGCGTGCAGAATACGCTTTATCTCGCGGAGAAGTGCATACTTGATAAAGTCAAGCAAGTAAGCGTAATAACAACAAATTGTTATAACATAACAGCCTACCATTTCATCATAATTATCCTGCTAATGAGATATCTTAACACACCTAACAATTAAATTAATAAATTAGATAAGCATTGAAAATATCTTGAAAATAATTAATATTAATATTATTTTATCGCACGTATTACATGTGTTCTACGCGGGAATGTAATATTTACAGATTTGTAGCATCGAGATGCAAATGCCGAACAGGCATTACTTCGATCTGGATCTCAGCAAATTCACCAAAGTCATACAAGGGCAGAACAAGGAGGTTTACCTGCCCATGGATAAGCCGTCGGGTATTATTTACGCTCAATTAAACAGAAAGGATTTCTCCTCCAAATTGTAGACATTATTGAGTTATTAATAAAGTTTAAGTTTTATAATAGTCAATCTAATGTGTGACGAAACCTCTTAAATATCTGAAGCCCACTTTGGACGATCTCCGAACTCGCGCTAGATTTCAAAATAGGAATTCTATTCTGAAAAGAATAGAATAGAATTCCTGATATATGAGGTTACATAACGTACGAAGATTGTGTAATTCATATATTTTTACATTTCTTATTTTTATCCTCCAAATGTTTCTCATACGTGTGACACTTGAGAAATTATATCCGGAATTTCGACTGGATCATCCTAAAGTAGGCTCTAACGATATCACAGGCGATGTTTGATGACAAAAAACGCTCGAGTTGCGAAAGAACATCTTTTAATACAATTGTCATCCAAAATTTCACGTCAAAAGAGTATTTCACTCCTAAAATAGATTACAATTTACGCAGGCAGATATGCTCTCGTCGGCTACGGATCTGTACGACGTGTCTCCGGCGTGGTGGCAAACGGACTGCGTGAGATACGGGTGGGTCGAGGCCTCGTCGGCCGGTTCGCTCGAGAATAATAACCCCTTAATTAATCGACCCAGGCTCAGTTACACACCCGTGAGATCGCGGCTGACGTCGCTGATGGGGAGCCACGTGGTGCGGCTGACGGATCGCGGATACATGACGCGGCTCGCGTCGAGACTGCAGGAGGATTACGTGGCGCGGCAAAGAACTCGCATCGAACGAAGGAAATTGAGGGACACCACGGTCCTACCGGAACTGCGTGCATTACTGCCCAGGTCGCTGCCGAGGGCGAGCCGGCGGCGTCAACAATGCGCGCCGAAATTTCACGCCGGCGCAGCTAAAAAGTGTAACCAACTCCCGCAGCTGTTACTCGCGGCTGACTCGGAACCCCGTGTCGGATTTTTAAATGCGCGATAAGTCATATTAATTTCCCGCCGCGAGCGAAATCTAGATCTGTGATCCGGCAGAGGTCGAGGAACATCTTGGGATGTCTCTGTTATGCGCAATAAATAATGAGCCATCATGAAATGTACATGTCAGGCTGAGCGCTTGCAGCGAGCTAAGTTCTCCATTAGCTAATCTAAAGCTAAGTCTAAGGCTAACCCTGTTTAAAATCATAGAATCAGATCAGATTACATTAGATTACATGCAATTTCAATGTAAATAAATAAGAGTCTTATTAATTTACTTGAAACTGCACATGTAATCCAATGAAGTCTGATCATATTCTATATAATATTTTAAACAGGGAAACGAATGATTTGACGTAGCGTTTGATGACCAATTTTAATCACAATTAATTAGTTTCGGGTGCGAGAAACGGGCGTCTCGCGGCGCGGCCTTAAGTCGTCACCGTCTCCGACCGTCTCTGTCGCGATTTCTTCAACGGCAAGTGAAAAACGAGCTGCTGCCGGTTAACGGGGACCTGCACCAGTATTCCCCTGGAGTTGCGATCGATTGAGTCCTGAACGTCGTCGGTGTCTGCGAAAAAAGATCGCTATTTTTAATCGCCCGAGTTTCGCCTTTTGCTCGCCACGGTCGACGAACGACCGTATGCACGATTGATTTTTCCGTCGCGCGGAATTGTCAGAACCCACCTAGAATCTGGTCGCTCCAGAGGTCGTCCCACAGATCCGGCCCGGTTAGGAGACCTTGATGTTGGAGACCCGGCGACACGATTAATGAGGGATCGGGCGAGTATCCGTAGCGATAATCCGACCAGCCGAACGATGCGAGAGTGTCGCTGGAAAAATAATAAACGTTAGTACAAAGCGTCAGCCAGTGATAATAGCTGCACCCTAGTAGCACAATACAACCAAATATTGGGCCAATGTTTAACCAATGTTTGTTCAATGCACTATGCTACTACCCAGGAAAAAATGGAAATGTCCCATTATGTCTCAATCGTGTGATATCTAATTTAGGGTTGGGTAGTGTCTAGTTGAAAAGATAGAAGTTAAGTTAAAAAGTTAAATAATTTTAACTTAACTTAGTTACATTATAGACTGTTAACTTTTAACTGAATTTTGTTACATTTTATCGGTAACTTTGGACTTTTAATTTACCTCTCTCTTAGGCCCGGTTTTTCATTTTTTTTTTTGGTCAATTGTTAACCAGAAGTTAGTCGACTCTCTGTCTCTTCTCGGATAATAACATAGAAAAAGATGCAGAGTCTACTAACTTCTGGTTAATTCTTAACCACAAGTTAGACTCTCTGTCTTCCTTTATATTATTATCTGAAAAAAAGACAGAGAGCCGACTAACCTCTGGTTAGTTATTAACCAGAAAATGAAAAATCGGGCGTTAAAGTTAGCCATGCCATAAACAAAGGCGTCGCGAGATGCCGTGCGTCTGCCTACATTGGCAGTCTCTGTGTTTCAAAATTCGCTGCCAGCTATAAAATCTATTGTACACGTGTACTATAGATCTTCAACGCTGGTAATGAATTTTGGAACACAGCCATTATATGGGGTTTTGATTCTCGCGTGAAATTGTTCGCATATGAAATGGGCCATATTCCGCGTAGTGTGAGTGATTGTCCAAACACTAGTCGCGAAATTCAATGCAATCTACGTGATCGTAAAAGTCTCTGAGATTTTATGTACAAATAAAACAAATTTAACTTTTAACTTTTTAATTTCTTTTTATTATTGACTTAACTTTTAATTCAATTAATTGCATTATGGATTAACTTGTATCTTAACTAAGTTAAATTTGCAAGGCTGTTAACTTAACTTAACTTAGTTTAAAAAAAAAGGATAACTCACCCAACCCTGATCTAATTGTATCCAATTCTAAAATCATCAGATCTTCAGAGATCTGACACTTTTATTGAATGTTCAATGCCATTATCTATTGAGATCTAATTATGTTTTCTTATGGCTTTTAATTATAGAGTTAGATCTCAATAAGATAACGTCGAACATTCAAGGAAAGTGTCAAACCTCTGAGGATCTGATGACTTTTAGAATTGGATCTCGTAAGATATAATTAGATATTACATGATTGAGACATATATAATTAAATTTTTTCCATTTTTTCCCGGGTAGGGCGACCGGCACACGGAAAAAAATAGCCGCTGTAGCTAAATACTGCATGTGGCGACCAAATTTCAATTGCAATATATGGACATAGCACATAGACCCAGGGAGAAAATTATTCGTCGATCGATGCCGACTTGACATTGTTTCGACATCAATCGACGAGTCATTTCTCGCTTGGGACATCTTGATTGCGATAGCTAAATATCTCGCTACCTTACCTATGTACCAGGTGCGAGCCGTTTTGCTGTAGTTTAGAAATTTACAGCTACGGCAACAAAACGATTTTAACAGACCATGTTTAGCTATGGTGGCAAAATTTTTATATTCCGTGCAATCTGAAAGGCGTCGGAGTCCTCTTCCTCTCTTTTTATCCCGGCTTCCTCTCTCGTTCATTCGAACGCAAAGTGAGCACTCCGACGTCTCAGATTTGCAATGCCGAGCGCAGTTATTAACGTAACGTTTGCAAAAAGAGCCGAAGGAGGCGAGATATCGCGAGTTTTTCGCGCGCGCGCGCGATACACGAGGACCAACTGAACTTGAAATATCACTTTCCCTCGTGCGATAACTTATTAATTTCTCTACGGTTTCAGTTTTTTGTCGGGCGCAGTCGCGAGCTGTGAAACGAGTTTGATCGTTTTTACTCGAAAAACTGGAACGAACCCGTAAAGTTCATCGAGATAGTATTTATCCGGCGCTCTCCAGGCTGTGAGAGGGAAAGGCAACGGATAATAATGTACGTGATAGTGCTGTACGTTGCTCGTCTTCGGCATCGCCTTTTTCGTCTTCAGGGATTGAAGGAATTCCGTCAGTGCCTTCCTAGGGCTGCAACGTGAGAGAACGTGTTAGCAAATAGCCGGGGAAACGCGAAAAGTATAATGGCACGCTCGTTCCTGCGACGTGCAAATTTTTCACGCCGCCTCGTTTCGTCTCTTAGAAAGTGCACAGAGAGCCGATAAACTTCAAGCTACAAATAACGAAGGCTTTTTGAAAGTTCAGCCTACGAGTGCACGAAAGCTTATTGTTGAGACAATCGCGAGTCTACTTTTAGCTCAGTTCAGAATCTGATTTCCGGTGTGTCTGGAAAATCGTGAAAAGGGTAGCATCAAATGTTCGGTCAGAGAAAACTAATTCAAGATAGAAACAATTCGCAAGGTGCTAAGCTCGATTTGGAACATCCTGTGCGAGATCAAAATAATCTTCTTCGAGTCTCCAGCGAATGACGGCACTCAAGGAAATATAAAAACGCACTCACTATTCGAAAAAAAATTCTTCCGAGGACCCGGCCAGTAGCACCACGGGCAGCGCCAACTGCAAATTGCCACAACGATTAATTCTGTATCCCCCTTCGGCCTTATCTCTCCCCTAAATTAAATTCCCGACCGTTCGCGCGTACTAACCCGGGCAACACACGTGTCTAAAAAAAAAACGAGACGTCCTTTAGATTTACGGGTCTAATAACGTCTTAAAGATGTCTTTTAGACGTGCGCGCTGCCTGGGAAGTAACTTGCCGGCGACCTCGAGCAACACGTGCCGACTAACTCGACTCGCGTTGAGTTACTGAATTATTTACTGGCAGATCATCGAGCACAAGTCGGAGTCGAGTCGTTAACATAGACGATACTCCGGACGAGTAGGCACTTCCTCCACGTAACGAGGAAACCTCGTCGCGAGAGACCCGAAATTTACGAGACCGATACGTTCTCTCTAAAAATCAATTAGTGGATTATCTGAAAGCAGTGCATAGTCACCGGTTTACAGTTAGAGGTATATACCACTGCGATTTTCAGCGGTACACTTATAACTGCAAATCAATATCACTATTCAGCTGCAAATTACCACAACGATAATCCACTGGTTGACTCTTAGAGAGTTTAAGATATCTACAACCCGCCGGTCCTTTACTTGCAACATCAGCCCGGTCTTCATGCTGCAGCACCAATTGGAGGATCGAGACGTCACGTCCGCAGTAATATCTGCGATATGCGTATACGACAAACTGAGAATTTCGACGAAACTGGATCGCTTTATAGCCGCGCTCTTACCCTCTTTCTCTCCACGCGCTCGTGCTTTTCATTTTTCCCTCGGCCGTGGTTCATCAGGCTGTCGGCCGACGCGAAGCATGTATCGCCGCTATTGTAATCGCCCTCTCGCCTCTCGCTAATCCGCGTGGCGTTACCGTGTGACACGCCACAGTACACACGTTATGACGAATTGTGGAAGCGTTTGTTATGTTAAATAGAGACCACTGCAGTGCGGAGAATGAACGAACGAACGAACGAATGAATAAATGAATGAATGAATGCGACTTAAGTTCGACAAGAATCTCCGAACAATTGATTAAACAAAATAACTTTAAGGGTATAGAAACGTAAGCGAAATAATTACTGTACACCAGTCATTTCATAATATTTCATAAAATTATCCAGTGCTCTTTTTGTTTCCAGTGTGTGCATTTCTGTAAGGGTAACTTGGGAATCGATCCCCTTTCTCAGGGAAGGAAAAGTTAAAACGTGTCGATGAACGAGCGATGAGAAAAATTCGCACGTAACGGCGGCAGAAATCAAAGCCCTGCTCTTCTTTCTTTCGTAATAAGCTCGAATCTATTGAAGATGTTGAGAGACGTTTCTATGCTTAAATAGAGCCGTCTCGGATTATTTTCGCACTTAATCGTGGATTCCTTCGTCAGTTTCCTTTCACGAGCAAATCTTCGCCGTGTTTAATAACGTTAAAATAACGATACGTTAGTTCGCTACTTGGGAAATCGAGGGATCGCTGGACAAACGGGGAGAAACATTTATCCGTAATAAGGGAAACAATAAATGCACCACTTTACTTTCTAATGAACTATACCGCACGAAGAAACTTTTGCGCCTATTCAATCTTTCCGACGAGCTGCGGACCTTACATTTATACGCTCTGACAATCTTTCGTATCTATTAAGACTTCCGTTTTCTTGCCGCGACCATGGTAAATCGTCAACGAAGGGAGACGAGAAATCATACGAATATTCTTCTTGCGATGTATATCGAAATAATTTAGTGTTTTCATACGACACCGTTCGCTTTCGATAATAGAAGTTGATAAAATATACCGGAAAGCCCCCCCCCCCACGTTTTTAAAATCATCCTGTATAATTCAATCTGCATGTATATCTTGTGTCTTCGGCGAAAGTCGCTCTTATAATCAATGAAGATTTACGAGCTATCTCCGAGGAGAGAATCCTCAGAGACGTCCTGTCATTCTTTATTATTGAACACTCATAAAAATATCTGACTGATACAGGAAGATTTCTAGGTGTCGCAATAAAAATTTGTCGCTAATTGTCGTATCTGTCAGGTCTTAGGTTAATCTTGGTTTAATTCATGCTTGTCTCTTTCTGGAGTAACAATTGAAAAAAAAACGAATTACGCTAAGCTTAAGCGACGTTGCCGAAACCGGGCCTTAGAAAATTGTTTGTACCCTGCAAAATGTATAGCAGCAACGTTCTAGTAATAGCTCCTGAAAAGTTTAGGTTTCATGACTAAATATTAATCGTTCGCACTGGATAAAAATGAATTTCGGTACCACAGCTGGAACAATCTTTGTAAGGAATATAACTGTTTGCGTACCCACAGTCAAACGTTAATGGACGCCACAGAAAGACTTTCTTCCTAACATTCGCTAACAATTGAGATAGAAATTCTGTTTCTGTTACTTAAATCGATTAAAAATACAAAACATATACGTGTATACAGTATTGACTATTCATTTATATATCTCAGTTATTTTTTTCGTTCCTAGAAAATTGTTGCTGCAGTTGCAGGCTCTTTTTTTTCAGTAAATATGCACGACGCAGGAAATCGATGAGAAGCCAATTTATCTTCACGCAAAAACGTGTATCTACTTTGACGCGTGCTGCAGTAAAAAAAAAAGATTGATGTGATCTCTGCGAGGAGGAGAGAACGTAGGGTACAATACGAGCATTGTATGCTGCAGTATATAATGCTACAATAGTCGCTTTGAAATTAAAGGAAAAAAAAAACAACACTCTCGTGCCTGCGAGTAAAGTTTCCCGTAATCGACAAGGTGCAGTTTTTGCTTCTCTCTCTCTCTTTCTCTCTTTCCGCGCTCGTTGCGTAGACTGCGAGATACGCGTAAAAGCGCGAGAGCGCCAAGATTCACTCCAATAGGTCGACTAACTGGAAATCGGCGCTTTACTAGTGCACAGGATGTACCACATGCGATTCTAATCGCGAGGATTACGATTATACCTCGCGGGCACCTTTCACATTCGCGCATAAAACGGAAGATGAAGAAAGGTGAAACTGGACATTGTCGGATGTCATATCTGATGCGCGGCAGGTTTGCCGATAATTATCACAGTTCCACGAGCATACATCATGCATATGTCGGCGCTTAAATTCGTAATAGATAAGTACACAATGGCCGCGGTTCTCCGTCGACGTTCGTCGAAATTCACTTTCTACCTCGCGCACCTCGCGCGGAAACCGAATTTCGTTTGAGAACAAGCTCCGCTCGAAAAGAGATGAAACGATAACAAACAGAAATCCCATTGTTACGCAAAATAGGGCCCTCCGATCTGCGATCCGCGGGCCCCACGAGGTTCTCTCCGGTTCGCCAAGAAATCTCGATGAATTTCAAAACGGAGAAACATCTTGCTTCTATGCGACTTTCCAAGGTCTGACCTATCTGGTCCCCCAGTCGTTACAAAAATTTCAATTCTTTCTGAAGAAAAAAAGAAGATTGAGGCCTGTGTCCACGATGTTAGAACTTGGTCCAAGTTCTACTTTCGAGAAATGTGTGGCCAATCAACTTGCAGCTATTCCATACAGGCATTTCAGGTTGATTGGCCGCACATTTCACCGAACTAGAACTTGGACCCAAGTTCTAGTACCGTGGACACAGGCCTAAAAAAAAAACATAAAAGATTTATGACGTGTCTTTCAAACGGTGGAATCAATTATACAGCTTTGTTGCCGGTGATTACAGATTTTTCACATGTTACGTGCGTGATTTTCTTCGTGGATGATCGATGCGAGTCATTAGCGCAATTTCACAGTCCATGAAAGCGCCGTGAAGAGGCTCGAGGAGATAACGATCTAGGTTTGATCGCCTGGCTCGATAAATATATTCGATCAATTTATCGGCCGCGGAGAGACCGCGAATTGGTTTTACGATTATGGGGTACGGGCGAATGGGGCATACGCCGGTAATGAGCTTGACAAATTGCGTTAATCAGTTTCGCCAGGGACGTCGGGGACGTCCTACTAGCATGATAATCTCTGAACCGAACGCGAGGAGGACGACGAGCGACTTTCCTTCACGCTGCGCGACGACAATGACGGCGACGATTGCGGGGACGGCGACGGGAGTCAACGCGGTTTCTATTTCGCGTGCGAGCTTCGGGCGGATTGAGCCGGACGTGTTATTACGGCCGACTGCGAAATAACGGTCGACTACTTCTCTCCAACGAGAACAACGCGAGGGGGAACAATGCTTGTTTACACTCCTCCGTTTACACGATACACTTCTAGACGTGATTATTGTCATTTGCATCGGGCGCCGCGGAGCTACGGCCCGTCGTTCCACATCTCTAGGGGACACACCGGCTCACAATCGGTTCCGATGATAAAAAGAGAGGGGGAAGAGAGAAAAAAAAAGGATAACAATGCACGAGGGTTCACCGGGATGCTACTTTCGACCGCGTCGCGAGAAGCAGGACGGGAAAAAGGGGGAATCGGCGGACGAATTGGGACGAATCGAGAGACGGGAACTTCGATCCTTCTCCGAGTCATTGTCCGATTGTCGCGGGGCTTGGTGGCGATCGCAACTTGACGGAATCCCTCCCCCCCTCCGCCCGTCATCGCGATTGATGGGACCAACCCCTTCGGTACCGGAGGGGAAACTTTCCCCGCGAGAGAAAGCCGGTGAAGGGTCACGGGCGACGGCGCGCTCGGAAAATTGTCTCTCGTAAACCGGTTCCGGTGAGCCGATTCCTCGATCGATCCGACGTCGCCGCCCGTCGTCGTCGTCTTCATCGACGCGTACGACACGCGTGTGCTTTATGCCGCTTGCGCGCCTGTGGTGCTTCCAGACGCAAAACGACCGCGACGTGTATATTGCACGTTTGTGCAGCTGAACACGGGCGATCGCGCGATTTCTCTCGCACGCGATTACTATCGTGGAGAGATAAATACTGGGTAACGGACGGTGACGACGACGGGAAAACCGGAATGTATAAGCGGCTCGCGAGAGGCGGGGATCGATTAAGCCTACGCAACTTACCGCGCTTCCCAGTGAGAAGTGATTCGTCGATCGATGTGGATTGTCAACGTCAAATTGGATGGTCGATTCGACATTGACCGACAGCCATTTCTCGCTGGACTACGGAGGGCGATTTTATTCCGCGGGCCGGAAATAATTTTTATCCAACCGATTCCGGTGCGAGAGCAATTTCTTGTACCCGGTTAGATTGCGTGGGAAATGTTATTGGCCGAAGAGAGTCGCGAGGACCCAGAGATTGAATGAGTTACGAGTTGTTTTATACCTTACTCCGATACGTTTTTTCCTTTCTTGGCAAAATAAACTGGGGATGTTTTGTAAAGCATTTATCTTCCGATGATTTTACCTAGATGTTCTTATGCAACGGAATGATGATAAATTAATGTGAGAAAAGAACGTGGTTGTTTTTCTAAAGAAAAATAATTGCATGCAAACTGCATGCTTTTCCTTTAAAGAGCTCGTGTGATTTTATTCGCACTCTATCATCAGCAAAATCGCGTATCGATTGATCCCTTTCGCAAGGCCGTGTCACGATTTTACGCAATTTCTGGTTTCTGTGCTTAAACTCTGGACCCGAATGAGCGTTTAAGTACAAAAACCGAAAATTGCGTAAAATCGAGACCTTACGGTCAATTCTGTAGCTTACGCTATAGTGAAAATGCTAAAAGTGAGTAGCTTTATCTCTTTGTAATTGTCACCTTAAGCCCGTATCAGACTACGGATTGAGATTGAGATTAGATTGAAATTTGACCAATCAGAGTAAAAGTTACTGAGCTTAAGATTAGTAAACTTTACTGTGATTGGTTAAATTTCAATCTAATCCCAATCCGTAGTCTGATTTACGCCCGTTCTACACCTAGGGATGATTCCATTCGTGGCTCATCCGATGCCCCTTTTATACCTAAAGATAATCCTAGTTGCGGCTTATCCGAGGGAGTAGTATAAAGTGTAAAAAGGTACGCTACGGTTGGTTTCCAATCGTACCAATGTAATATCATCCATAGTCAATCGATCCATATGTCTGATACGGGTTTTAGCATTTTCACTATATTCCCTAGTAGCACAATATATTGGCGCAATATTGGGAAATAATGTAAATCTAGTATTCCCAATATTGGCCCAATATTGCAAAATGGACGCCTTTTCCTGTTTAGCCAATACGTCCATTTGGCAATATTGGTTTAATATTGTATCAATATCAGACCAATTATTCCTATTTACATTGTTAAATATTGGCCAATGCGCTTCCAATATAAATCTAATATTATATAATTATTGTCGTGCAACATTGACATTTATTCCATGGCGCTACGTTGGATAATATCGGCCGATGCATTTCTAATGTAACCAACATTGGATCAATGTTTAGTCAACGCACTGTGCTACTAGAGTTGCAAGATACAGAATTGACCCCCTTGCGAATGAGATCAGTCGATATGTGTATCGGCGAGATTTATTTCTCCATTAACGTTTCTGTCGCTCCATTTACGCTTATCTCAAGTAATTGCTTCTTTCTTCGATTATAATAAGTAACCGTATGAATGTTTCAAACTACGCATCCTCACATGTTCATTTCAATGCGAACGAACTTGAACTTATTTTTATGTTTCTATAATCCTAAGAATTAGAAGAAGATTAAGGGTAGATCGAACCGATTATTAAACTTAATCTACGTTGGCAGAAATAGACGTCGTAATTTTTTAAAATACATCTATCACGCATATCCAAAAACATTGTGTATCTGTCGACCAAGGCTGCGGTCAGGCTGCCGCTTCGAAAGCTTCGAAGTATTCTTTTTCTTTCTTTCAGAAAAGATAGAACGAGAAGCTTAGAAGCATTTGTAGCGGCGACTTGACCGCAACTCACCAGTTGAACAAGCGTACGAGGCCTCGTCGATAAAACAGGCGCCTCCACCACTGTGCGGTCGTAAAGTTTCATAAAGGCTGGTCTACAATACATGGAGTAAGCTGGAGTAAGCTGGAGTAAGGAGTAGGAGTAAGGAAATAAATTCATTTAATGCCATGATTGATGGCATTTTGATTCACCGAGAGTAAGCCTAAGAGCTGAAGTAGGAGTAAGAAATAAAATGGATTTATTTCCTTACTCCTACTCCTTACTCCAGCTTACTCCATGTATTGTAGACCAGCCTTAATCGTCGAACGGTCTGTGGCGACTGGAAAAAATCGACCACCCAAATGAATAATTCTCTTTTGTTCTTCCATTCATCACTTATTATATCGGTCTGATTGCAACGCTATTCGGAGTCGCGGGCAGCATAACATTACAGCACGGACTGCAGCGCGATGTAAGCTGAAAGTGTGTCATAATTAATTCAAAGAGACAATGGATTAAACAATTCATTATATGGGTATAATAGAATGGGAATTGTGGGCATGTTACCTACTGAGAAGAATTGTACACCGGCTGGCGTGCAGAATTCGAGATGTCGTGGATACGGAGGCGCCTTTTGTAAACAAGCTTCGTCCGAGCGAGCGGCGCGACCCCTCTCGCGTTTCTTCCGGCTGTCACTCGGGTCTGCCGGAGCCGCGGGTTTTAGGTTAGCCGGACAGTGGCGGAGAGGCCGGTCGAGCGCGCGGTGTGTGTCCGAGGTGTTCGCCATTGACCAGCCGTGAACCGCTCAGCGATACTTCCGTCGAGGGCATCGCGCTCCGGCGAGGGAACGAACGGCCGTGCAGTTAAATGACAAGCGATCATGGCGACGCCCACCTGTGACAAGAAAGCGAGGGTAATCGTTCTAGGAGGTGAGGTATCGCGCCGTATATCTGTGCGCGCCGGCCGCGCGCGGAGCGGAAGAGCGATAAGAGGGTGACGGCTGACCGGGAGACCTTTATCCGTTTGCGGTTTTGCAGGATGCGGTTTCATCGGCCGCAACCTCGTGGAATATCTGCTGGACAACGATCTGGTATCCTACGTGCGGGTCGTAGACAAGGTGCCGCCGCAGACCGCGTGGCTCAATGCAAAGCATCAGCGGGTGTTCGAGCACCCTTTGCTCGAATTCAAAAGCGCTAACTTGATTAACATAGGTAAATTGTGTAGCCGGAGGCCGCGGCGAGATTCTTGCTGAATAACTTGACTCGCAGCTGTAACATTTAAAAGATAATGATCTTTTAAGTCTCGGTGTAAGAATAGCTGAGAGTTTTCACAAGTACAGGTTCTAATTGTTTTATCTGTCCTTTATGTCGTAAGATTAATTACTGATTCGTTACGTGCCTCGGTTGGCCGTGTCAAGTATCAGAGCTGATGTAGATAGAAATGTGTAATGGGATTTTCATTTTTTTGTTGTCCTCCCAAAGCGTCCTGCCAAAGCGCATTTTCCTCCGACGAGCCTATTGATTATGTGTTCAATTGCGCCGGGGAGACGAAGAGTGGTCTGACGGATCCGGTGTATAAAGAGGGCATTTACAAATTGAGCCTCAATTGCGCCCAGCAAGCGGCCAAGATCCGAGTCTTGCGTTACGTGGAGATATCCTCTGGCAACCTCAGTGCCTCGGAAAAGGTATCCCTCTCAACGGCGTACACTTTGACACGAATATGGATTTAGGATTGATCGTTATGCAATGTTGCATAGATCCCTCACAAGGAGGACAGTGCCGCAGAGCCATGGACGTTTGTCTCAAAGTACAAGTTGCAAGTGGAACACGAACTGAAGAATATAACAGATCTGAAATACACCGTACTCAGACCGGCCATTATATACGGCTGCGGTGACAGAAACGGCCTAGGTAATTCCAAAGGATATAGGCTCCTCTTGCAGTTTACCACAATACTAGAACTTGGTCTATTCCGTAAAAGTGACAAGTTGATTGACCACACATTTCTCGGAACTAGAACTTGGGTCAAGTTCTAGCATCGCGGACACAGGCCTTGAAAGGATGAAAAGCAAGCGAGTATATACCTTGTTAATTTGCAGCACCGAGATTGGTGGTGGGCGCAGTTTACAAGCATCTAGGGGAGATGATGAAGTTGCTCTGGGGTCCGGAACTTCACATGAATACGGTTCACGTGAGAGACGTTGTCAGAGCTATCTGGCACGTGGCTAACAGACCAGAGACGGTAGGCCAGACGTACAATCTCGTGGACGAAGGAGATTCTACTCAAGGTTCCATCAGTGCCATAGTCTCGGAACTGTTTAATATCAATCACGATTACTGGGGCACTGCGCTGTCTACACTGGCTAAAGTATGCAGAATTTTATCCCTTTGATCTTACAATTAGTACGTTATACGTGTGTATGTATCTATAGTTTATCAATTTCAGTTTAGCAATGACACGCCCAAAAGAAATTATTAATATTTCAAAAAGATACTATCATATAAACCTTACGCTTTGTAGACCGATATGAGCTCCGTTGTCGAAGAGGTGAACGACAAGCACATGACACCTTGGGCGGAAGCTTGTCGGAAAGATGGAGTGGAGAACAGTCCGCTATCTCCGTACATAGATCAAGAACTTCTGTATAATAAGCACCTGTATTTACAACCCGGAAAGTTGTCAAGCACCACGGGTTTTACGTATCTATATCCTAAATTAACGAAAGATGCTCTTGCGGAGGTAAATTGTTCGTTTCTACAAGTGTCCTCGAAGAGAAAACTTAATGCATAATAATGTTCACGGATTTACAGGTACTTAATGATTATGTGGCCATGAGGATCTTCCCGCACTCCCTGTTTTTGTGAACTTAGCAATACCGACTGCCGAATTTGAATATCGATCAATCTCTCTTGTACGTGAGGATGCTACAAATACCAGATATATACACGGACGCCGAGCGTCGTTCACCTTGTGCCTAGAAGGGTTCTATACAAGTTACATACATATATATATATATATTCTATTATATACATCTTTACTTGACGTTTTATACGCCAGCAAATAATGCTAAATGAGTTTTATAGAGAGAATGCGTATGAAATTGGAATATTTCGTAGGCGGCCTATTGCCAATGTGATAAACTAGCAATTAATGTACTTAATTTTACCGTAGTTCTGGAAGCACGGCCTTTTTCGCACTTAAAAGATGGCTAGTCAAACTGCGACGTTTAGGAATTATTCGGTACAATGTTCTTATCTACGAAGACAGTCATATGTATAAGAATAAATACAAGACCTTTGTAGTAGTCTGAATCAATTTCGATGAATATTTTAGAGGATCATTTGATCGAAAAGAAGCTTTTTATATAGCAATTTTTCCAAGACTCCACTAATAAAGTTGTTGAAAATCTATGTACGCCTAATATTGCTAGAGATATTTAACAAGTTCTTTTTATATCTACATTCCAAGATGTACATCTTCCACAATGCTGTGAATCAAGTTGACAAGTCTTTCTATTGAACAACTGTTGTACGCATAATTTTATTGTCGATAACTCGTACGACCTAAAGAATTGTATTGAATTAAGTACAAACACTGTTGGAGGTACGTTTAGAAGATATTCCTACAAAGGATATTCCTTATCGATATATGAATGATTCTTCATATTGCTAGATTTACATATACGAGCTGTGCGCGTTTGCACAGTACATACTTAATATAAAATAAAAAGTTATATTCTATCGAATGCCTCGTAAAGATATTATATTATATCATACTTTCGATATTCTGTTGTTACGTCGATGTTGCTGCATATTCTTTGATAATAAAGTTGCTCCATTTACGAAATCGCATTGACTCACCATATCCTGTAAAATCCACCTAATACTGCAAAAGGGACATACGTTGTTCATTTACACCAAATGTGCATTTGTACACTGTCTTAATTTTATTGAATCAGTGGTTACAACAAGACGTGTTCAAGAAGGGTCAACAGTATTATTAAATATTTAGTGTATTTAGTCTTAATATACTTCAAACAATAAGATTATAATTTCATGTAGTTCATTATACGTAATATATTAAAATATATATTTTAATGTTCTTCGCAGGTAATATAATATGTATATACAATCGCAGGTAAAAGTATGTACAAAGTAACTGCACCCTAAAGAATAATTGTCGCATCGAGATAATGGGTAGATCTAAATCGGAAAGAAGGGCGAAATGAGGGCTTGCGGAAAATAAATTAATAGTCTTCTTAATACACATAATAATTATAATTAACGGTAAATAGTATAATATAAATGAATAAAATTACTGGGTTCTCTTCTCCCTTACACATTAGGTGTAAAATAAAGTGTAATGTCTCGCGGCTATTATATATACATATACTGTATGTGCTGCGCACACGCAATATATGTGTATACATATATATATGTGTATATATAATATATATATTTATATATATTGTATACACGCGCGTGCGTATATATCCACCGGGCGTGAAAATATAATCTTTGAGGTAAACTGCATTTTAAAAAAATTGTAAACAATAGTCTAATAGGTACCGACGTTAAGTTAAAATTAAGTAATGTAAATCACTCTGTGCTCAGAGTGACAATTACGGAGGTATATTCGTTCGACTAGAGCCGCCGTACAATACAATCAATATTTGCTATTGTGTATTTAACACTACAGTCTGTCTGATGAATTATATCGTACTCTGTATGAAAGGAATGTGTGTATGCATGTGTGTTTGCGTGTGTATATTATATACGGAGCGACCGCGGGTGGGTCTTGCACGGATTTCATTTATACGCGCGATTTAAAAAGACGATTAGAACGTTCTTCTCTTTGGCTGCCGCATCGCGGGTATTTCTAAATTAAGAAAGGCGAAATTAATGCGCAAGTGTGAGTAACGTCAATAATAATTGTTGCGGAGGTCCACGACGACGGTGCCGTGTCCTCCGGTTCATTCGGCAAATTATGACAATTGATGATCGATGAATGCGCGCAATAGTTGTTACGGTGATAAGTAGATTATGATCTATGATATAACATTTGTCATTTTTCCGACACTCGCGTTCGCCGTAAATACCAGGGAACGTATTTATCGCTAGACGCGAGATGATGCTTATTGCTTTTGTATGTACTATAAGGTAATGTTATCTTCGTGGACTTTGTACATACAGAGTGCGTCACGTGAAACTCTCCAGCAGGGTCGTGCCGTAAAAATCGTCATACGGATTGTTGAACGGTACGTTCACACAAACTTTTTAATACGTATGTAAACAAAATTAACGATATACATTATAAATCGGATAACACAATATAGAAAGAAACTCTTTCAAATTGTTAACATATCAAATTTTCATTGTGTCCAGGGGTACAGAGTCAAAATGTTCCAAATCGTTATTAATTTTTCGTGTTACATCCTAAACTGTGCCCAAACTAGCAGCTAAAAGTAACACAAGCAAGATATAAATTTGGCATTCCTGACTGAAAATATGAATTCTCGACGACAGATTACTTATTGTTATGCACGTAGGTGTAACTATTTTTTACAAATATTTTACGCTCAACCCTGCCCTGCAGGTTGTCCTCCTCACGAGGGAGGAACGGCCTGCAACCGCTTGACGTGAGGCACTCTCGTTAACGCGATTTCACTCTCCTGAACGGCGACTCTATAGTCAATTGTTCACGACGTAAAACTTTATCACATCCACGAAATTATTCAAGAGCACTATGGTATGCATGTACGGAGTGTTTGTCGTTTTGTTTAAATTACTGATTGCTGTTGGCGTTTCGATCGCCGCTGCGGCTACCTCTTTGTTTCTCTCTCTCTCTCTCTCTTTATAATACGATATTCCGTTATGATACCGCGGATATGAAGTCGGGATTACAGCAGCAGAATTGTACATGTGACCGGAGTGACATACGTTACAGCTAAGGGAAGTATAGTACATTACGCTACTTAAACGTAAAAAATGGGATGAGGACAGTTCCGATAGGTATAAACTCATTCTCTCACGAAACTTATACAACTGTCAGTTTATATTCAAGAGCTCGCGTCCACGGGAAAGTCGTTTAAATCCAGATTATTTCGATATTTATAATCGAGAATTCTTTTAAGTTAGCAATAAAATTACTACACTTTTTCCTAAATAAAATCGCAAATTCAGAGAAACAAATGACTAATTTATACGTTTGGCTCTTTAGAGAAGATATACGCTTCATTTGGAAATTCAAATTTAAATGGCATTTTATAAATGCCATGTCGGATAAATTATGGAAGGCATAAATTACACTCGATCGCAGTCATATCTGAACTTATCCAAGTGTGGAGATTTCTGTCCGAAAACATTCGTGGACGCGAGCCTTAACACCTAAGTAAAAGCATCGAATACTTTCTGCTGCTTATACGTCATACCTGTCCTAAAGTCAATTCTCTTTTTGATGTCCGAATTCGATTTTTTTAAATATAATTAACAGCTGTCTCTTTAAAATTATTCCCCCAAGTGCTTTGTACGCTGCAGATATACATAAATATATGTATGTACATACATATATACATGTTATTTTCCAAAGCGCAAGAGTGTATAATAACGTGAAAAAATGTATCCTTCTGATGTATACTATTAACAATACGTAATAACCAACTAAAGGAACAATCGGTTCAACGTCCTGCTCTTTCTCGTTATTATACGGCAACTTAGCTATCGTCAACGCTATAGAAGTGATTCTTCTAAAATATACCATCAACAAATACAAAAAGTACATGAAAAAGCATATGAACGTATATACCCTCAACAAATATGGAAATAATATAAAATGTAACAGGCATTACACATTATATATGACAACAAATGCAAAACAGATTAAATAAAATCGTAAGCCAGATGCGTTGAATGCATGCAAACGCATTCGTAACAAGTAAGGGTTGCTGCACAAAAAAGAGAAAAAAAGAGAAAAAAAAAGAAAAGAAAGAACTGTTTAAGAATATATAAATTCAATAATTGTATATGCGATTCTATATATATGAGATTCTCATAATTATATTTATAATACATATAACAAGTTCCATGTATTCATGTGTAAATAAAACGATTCTTTCTATTTCGTAGAACTGTATCTGACCTGTGTAAACTATATAGAGCTATTGTAAATGCGATTTGCAAAGTCCAGTAAACGGAATAAGTAAATCATGGTGCACAGTTAATCAACTGAATGCCTCCCGTATTGAAACGCAAAAGGATTGGCAATACGACGGTGGTGCGTTCCGGTCTCTCGAAATTAAACGAAGCTACTTTCGGGACAGTTTCAATATGCTGGATGTCTAATGGACTCCGTTATGGAAATGCGGTAATATTCTATGGAATGAAGATATGATAGTCCTTTTAATATGTGCAGATCGAATTAATTCTAGCGTTAATTGTTTTCATACTGTGCTCATGGTGACTATGTTATTGCATGATCCAGTGTAATGTGTTCATCTAAAGTATATGCTGAATGTAAAATGCAATAAATAACAATTAGTGGAGGTACAGTAATAACATTGACATTTCTACGTCTCACTCTAAACGATATAGCTTATTCTATCAGGTACTGCGTTGGGTTTTTCTGTCATGGTAACATGCACCAGTCTGGAATATGTGTCTTGTAGATTCGTCACGAATGCTGCTTCTTTCTTTTTGTGTAATACACAGAACTGCTTTACCAGTTAACACGCTAAATATCGTACTTACAAAATGTTGACATTAAATCGCATATCGATTACCTAATCGCCTTAAAAACGATATCAATCTTATGAACGGAAAGAAACCCGAGGAATATGTAAAATTCTTCTTACGCAACGTATTGCGTAAAGTATTTTCACATAAACATTCTCCGACAAGGTTATCTGTTAATTATAAAAATATCGTCTATTAATGCAGTCTTTGAAGTCTCTTATAGAAGTAAGCAATTGTGAGAAAACAAGGTGGCCTGTTACACGCCATTCATTTGAATCGTAATATTCTGAGCGCGATTATCTTTCTGAATATTTCTTCCCATTCATAGGATCTCTCTTTTTAAATTTAAAGTATGATATATCGATAGTCCACTTTAAACTAATACAAAACTTACATCAGATATTTTAAGAGCTATTTAACAAATCCTTCATTTGTCATGCACACTAGCTCCAAATGCAAAAAAAATTTTTACTTTGATTTCTTGGAGAAATCAATTTTTTTTGTAAAAGTGATACCTTAATGACACACATATGGTATGTTAAAATATAGAAAGAAAAATGTATAGAAAAGAGAGGGGAAAAAATAGAAAAAAACACGGAATAAAAAATTTTCTTAACATCTCTAAAAACGCGTAGCATCTGGTTAGAGCCTTTCCCTGTTTTCTTAATACTAAACGTTCTTCCTTTGTTTACAATTAAATATCAATGGAAAACTTATTTTGGAATGATCAGTGTCTCTGCTCCATTTTAAGCAATCGTCAGCCCGAAAACTGTTATCAGAATGAAACTTTGTCAACTTTTAGGCCATGTTGTGCCCGGATATTCAGCAATTTTGTGTCCCCAAACGCGAAGGAATGCACGTCCGCATGTCTTTTTTTTTCTGTATTCCAAGTGTGATATTTTATGGACATATTCACAATCAACAATTATTCTATTCTATGTACAGAGGCATCGGAAACTTGCTGTTTTTCATTTCAGTTCATTTTGTTCGTGCATCTCTTAATTTTCAGCACGTCGACAATTTACTTAATTTATATATATACATATATATATACAGAATTATTCGACATGTTGAGGATCGAAGAGCGATACATTTTAATACTCTCTTGAAGCAACAGCCTATGTTCGAAAACGTTGCACATTTCACTGCTAAACAATTCTCAATCAAGAACCGAATAACGAAATAATTTCGCTAGCAGTATTCGCTAATATACCGATAGTGAATGTCCTTTCATAAAACTTTAATATCAAAACTCTTTAACTATATCTATATATTAGCGGCGAGCGTGGCGCGGAGAGATGTGCGCTGCTTACAATTGGTAAACAAATTAACAAGAAGATCTGAATTTAAATCCAGTCAAGAACGCTGACTTTTCTTCGAACATCAGCTCTTGAAAAAAAGTGGCAACCATTAAAAGTATCCTGCCACATTCCTCTAGAGTCTGACCCTCCAGATTGGGGGTTGGACGGTAGGTTTGGCAACCTACTCCCAGAGAAACAAATCCTGTCTAGAGTATAAAAACAAGGCCTCGAATTGGAGGAAAAAAGTAGAAGAAGCCCAAGTCCGACTTGGACTGCAGCGCTATTAGATAGATAGATACCTATATATAAATTCTCTTCGAGAAAATACTTAATTTTCATCCTCAAATGATATTTTGAATCATTCTGTATACATACACGAGTCCGGCAAACACTTCACGTGTCGTTTATGCGACCAGTGCACTATGCAAAGGATGCAATGAATTTTAGAATTGCGTTGCTTTCGCTGAGATGCTTATGTAGACGAGCTTTGTTCTCCGCGCGATAAATGTATTTTGCTCGTATTTACAACGTGGCGACCAACGTCGCGATTTCCTTTTCCGAAACGGTGTATTATTTACATCAATCATGTGTCAGACAATACTCCTGCTTTGCGAGGCTGCTGCAATTTGGCATTGCTTTTGCTTTCTCGGGGCTGGACATCGCTATTTTCTTTTTCCCGCGCGTTGATTCGGACCGTGACTGCGACCGATGGCAGCCGTATCGACCGTAAGGAAGGAGGAAATAGGAGAACTCATGTACTCCTACCTGTTGTACCTTGATAACGCTGAGAAGCATTGAACACCTTAGCGTATTGCCTAACGCACTTTCACCCGTTTGGTCCGAGCGCCGGAACAGGTGCACACGTGGCTTTCGGCGATGATAAAGTCTCACCGTCCGGACATCCTGAATTGTTATTTAAACTGCTAGCGCTACTGCCTAAAGTACAATTGACCATTGTGAGCTGCGTGCCCTCTAGATCTTGCTCCTCTTCCTCCTCCTCCTCCTCCCGTTGATTATTCGAGGCAGAACTGCCTCTCCTTTTGTACTGCAATCAGGAGAATGGATGGAGTTATTAATCTACAGCGCATCCTCATTAGCTATAACATAACGTCAAGGCGCGCAACTATACCTGAGGATTCTCCATAATATGAACATCCTTCGAGCCTCCATTCACCTCCCACGGCGACAGTAAGGGTTCTTTCGCGCAAATTTCGAAAACCCCGTTAGACTGTGCGCCCTACAGAACACACGAGATATATTATCTCTTACTCGTACAAGTTCAGTCTGATCGAATATCCGTTTGGTTACCTTTGCGTCCGAGTGCGGATTTGTCTCGACCGGCGTCGACGGACACAGCACTGCCAATTCAATCTCATTTGGGGCACCGGTGGCGTTCGCTTGTTGACCCACGGAGGTGGAGGACTGCTCCGCGCAACATCCATTTCCGTTTCGCGATAGCACACACCCATTTGTAGATTGAGCGTCGTTTCTCAATCGAGAATTCTCAAACTTTCTCCGGCAGTATATACTGCACAGGCATATCATGATAAATCCGACGCTTATGCTCACTCCGAGGATCACACCTGTTTTTTTTTTTACAAAGAGAACGGTTAATAATGGTAGGCGCAGTTATTTATTATCCAAGCCTAATGTTTTCCTCACCTAGACTTCGATCGGGCTTAGAGTTTTTCTCATTGCCCGACGGCGCGGGTACTTTCGACGTTCCACCACTGCTACCACCATTACTACCGTTACGACTAGTACCGCCGACATAAACAGTAATAGGATACGATGGCTTCCCATAGCCAGCTTTCGTCGCTGCCCGCACCGTAACGAAATATTGTTTCCCCGGCGTTAAACCTGGTAGGTGCGTCGTCGTCTTATTACCGAGTATGATCAAGTTGCTCCATGTCGTCGCCGAATCCATGGCATATGCGACAATATAATTTTGTATAATGCCGTTTGTGTTGTTCGGCTTCTCCCACGTAATTCGTACATTCGTGTTGTCCTCCAGGAACCAATATAATCCACCGACTTTACCAGGAACTGTAACATTTCGTTCGTGATATACAAAAAAAACCGACGTGCACATATTGTTGTTCTATTAAATAGTAACTGTCAGACGCTTACCATCTTCGTTCGTATAGCATTCTATAGATTTACTATAGAAGCTCGTCCGATTTGTATCGTGCTTAATGGCTTTCACTTTAAACTCGTATAAAGTAAAAGGCTTCAGCTCGTCAACGCTTGTTTTCGTGTCATTTCTATAACATATATTTCACAAAGATTCAATTTTTTGTCGTCAGTGGATATACTTAGCGCAATCAATTATAATCATTTCAAAAAGATCGGGTTGTACTTACACGATAGAACATTTAGAATTGTTAAAATTTTGCGCATGCACCGCATGATAACAAAATTCGAACGAATTTACGTCGTGCACACCGGACAATGTCCAGGACACGTTAATGGACGTAGGCGAGACGGGAGTAGCCTCCAAAGCCATTGGCACAGTATCTAAATTGCAAGATTATCGCATAAAAAATGATTTATTTCTCTACACAGTGCAGATATAGTCCATAAAAGTCTGAGAAACTTACTAGGATCGGATTGTACGGTCTCTACGTGTTTCGTCAAGCAACCTGTTGATTCACCCGAGCTCACCATGCACAGACGCATAGTATAAGAAACGTTCATATCTGGATAAAAATTGATTGCATTTATAATTTGTACGGCAACATCGTTGAAAAATAACTTTGTTTAACACAGAATACCTACCAAGATCAGTAAATAGGTATTCGGTAATGTTCTGTGGTAAATGAATATTCTTTAACTTCTCGCCATTTTGATTTTCGCAATAAATCTGCCAGGAATCGAACTGTGATTCAATTTGATCGCTTTGCTTGAAGTTGATCTTCCATTTCATCTAGCATCGAAACGTAAGTTTAGGAGAGCCATACAAATTTTGAAAATCAATCGACGATATACCAACCTTGATTATTGAGGCGTTAACAATTAATACTTGAATATCTACAACATTTCTTATAGTAAACTGATTGGATTGATTGGTAGTCGGCATGGTTACAGTAATCCAGTCTAATTGTGCTTCACTAATATTTGGCTCGCCCTGCTTCGTTCTCGCCAATACTCGAAGATCGTACCGCACTCCAGGCTCCAAGTCTACGTCCAAAATACACGATTCTATTAGCGATTATTATCTTCGTAAGGCGCAAAGAGAAAGAACGATGGGATGGAAAATATACCGGAAAGTATGTAGTATTGAACAGAGGCAGGTAGATAGTGCACCCATCTGGAGGCTGAGCTCTGGTGGAGTCTCCACAATAGTTTATATTCTACCACGTCGCCGCGGGACTCCTTTTTACTCAACGGCTCCCACGATACATTTAGTTTTGTACTACTGATTATATCCACATTCATTTTTGGTGTGCCTTTAGGAACTGTGGAGGCGAAATCGTTAATTCAAATTAAAATTACATGTTTTTTTTCTTACGAAATAAAACCCATGAAAGCGAACAGAAATACGTACCACTTGGAGCAGTGGAACACACAATGGTGGCCGATTGATCGCTAGCACCATAGTTGTTCCACACTCGTATGTAGAACGAGTAATTTGTAAATGGTTCAAGAAGTTTGGTTACTTCTACAGACGTAGAATTCCCTGGTTCCGGTGGCGAAACTTCCTCCTTACCACCTTCTGCCATTAAGGGATACATAATAAATGTATAAATATAGACAATTGAAGTAAAAGCTTCTCAGACCTGTCCTTACGCTTATCCCAAGATATCATCGAACTCACCTACAGGGCTATAATGGACGGTATAAGCTGTAATACTGGTATATGGTACAGACTTTGGTGGTTCCCACGAAATTAAGATTTTAACTGGTGAAACAGCATGACACTTCAGAGAAGTGGGTGTAGCGGGACTATTATGCGATGTATTTACTTGGAGCCGGCCAGCAGCCCAAATTTCACCCACTGCATTTACCGCCACACACTGGTACATGCCAGAATCAGACGGCACTGTTGCTGATATTGCTAATTCTATTTTATTATATTCCTTAACGTAAGTTGTCCTGCGACCTATCGACATACAGAGCGCGCGATTAGTTGCGAGAGTAAACGAAGATTACCGAGCACGCTCTTTCCTTGGCGGGTCATAACTTTGTCTCCAATATCATTACCATTGATAGTAATATTCATTGAATCTTTCAGCCAATAAATTTGAGGTACAGGTAATCCTTGCGCCTGGCACTCGAATCTCGCTGTTTTTCCATTTGGACAGATTTGGTTCGTCGGCGTTTTTACAAATGACGGTGGTATTAATACACCTACAGTTACATTCTGCAATAATTTACACGGGATGTATACATACGTTGTTAATTTACATAAACGTGTTAATTTATGATATAGTTTATCGAAATGACCTACACTGGCAAAGTTTTTATTTAAAAAAGTAACGTCGTTTTGGTCCCGAGGATTTGGACCCTTCTAAGTTACTTGAGAAGGGTCCAAATCCGGGACCGAAACGTCGTTGGTTTTTTAAATAAAAACATTGGGCAGTGTAGGTCGTTTCGATAAACTACATCATTGGTTTTATATTACTGGCGATGACAAATCTATCTGTGAGTGCTAATTTATGCCTAATGCCCGTTTCTACCAATGCAGATTAACCTTAATCTCGGTTTAAATTACTTCTTATCTAACTCGTAAAACTAGAAAAAGATAAGCAAGTTGTACCGAGATTGAAGTTAAACTGCGTTGGTAAAAACGGGCATAGGTCAATAACATTTCGTCGAGATTAACCACTTACCTGTACTTCTAAGTCATTGGTAATAGAATTCTTTGAAGAGCACAGGTAAACACCGGCATTGGAAATGTTCACGTTTCTTAGCAACAGTATACTAATGCCAGTGGTGGAATTAAGAAGGACGCGAGGTTTTGTAACATTATCTGCGAACAAATACGATTGAACGTATTAAGATCTCTAAAGCAACTAAACAAGCGTACCTTGCCCGCCAAATTTTTTACCTATATAACGAGGAATAAATGACCATGTTACAAGTGGTGTGGGATAACCAGATGCAGCGCATGCCAAACTAAGATTCGACCCATTAAGCAGCCTATGATTGTACGAAACCTGTGGAAACAAAGACGATGGCGTATGCGTTTTGTTGCTCTCCGTTTTCGCGATAACCGTTAATTTTGCTTCTTTGCTCCTTTTGGTCTTCTTTAGAAATTCATTAGTGACTATGCATCTGGAATAGCAGCAAATTCCATTTAGTTTGCGAGAGAAAAATCAACGGATATAAAATAAACGTGATCATACTATACCTATATAAGCCAGCATCTGACAGTTTCGTTGCACTTATATACAGAACACCTGGTGGTACCACAGAATACTTTGATTCATTATGATAGGATAACAATGTTTCATTATGCTGCCACGTAATATTGGGTGGGAAAGGAACACTGTCAATCAAGCAAGACAACCTTGCGACTTCGCCTTCTCGAACAGTAATATTTTCCGGAGTCTCTTTAAATGCATGGGCAAGTTCTGCAACACGTAACACTCGTTACAATAAATCTGACTTGTCGCGTCGAGGCAGAGGACCATGTCCGCACTCGTACGGTTGTGGAGCATCGCGCTTACCTGCTATTTGAATAATGGTGGGAGCTGAACGTATCGATTCTCCTAAACTAGTACGTGTTACGCAACGATATTCATCTTTATTATGGTTTCTAGCGTTAACAATATTATTCCTTTCCTTTTCTTTGAACTTTTGTATTTGTAAATTTTGTTTCTGCACAGAGTACGTCGAATGTGTGTTAACATCATCTCAAAGTGTACATTGTAATCGCGCGACGATAAGTTCGTACAAGTATTACGCGCGCACCTTGTAAAAGTGAAGAGAGCCATTGGAAAGAAGAACACAGCGAGTAAGACCACACGGAGGTGCTGGGCTTCCATTGTGCAACCAGGTCACAGTCTCGTTGGAGCCAGCTGTACAACTGACTGTGATCCCCCTTTTTCCTAGTATCACATGGCCACTAGGTTGAATTTCCAGCGTCAGTCCAGATCCTTTAGTCAAGCCAGCGTCAGAACCGTCCGGTTTCGACACGTTCCTACCGCTGACATTTCCTCCGATACCTTTAACACCTGTCGGACCAGGTAACTTGTACATTTATATCTTCGCGGGATATGAATACAACATTTTTGGGATCTCAATCGACATCGAGTACGCAAGTACGAGAGACAACACTTCTTTATGTTGCGTGGACTGATCAGAGATTGTGCCAGTGACAATATCTTAATCAATTCTTCGAGGAGTCCAACGTATAGCTATTTTCAGTACCTTGGCTGGGCCTATCGTAATACAAGTGTACAGTCTGTCTGTGCCAAAGTGGTAATTCATTTACAACTGACCTCGATACGTCACGCGTCGTTTCATCGCTCGTTTGTCGGATATCGTTCTTAGTTTTGCAACGTTTTCGGAAACGGGCTGCCGAAATGGCAATTCATTTACAACCGACCTGCCACGCGTTATCTTCGCCACTCATTTGTCGGATATCGTCCTCAGTTCTCTAACGTTTGGCGAAACGAGTCGCCGGCAAAACTCACCAAGGAGGACGCGCTTAACTGATTGGGAACGCGAGGCCAGATACCGCGGGCCGAGAAACGCGCTCGCGACGCTTGCCACGGCGAAACGCCTATCGCGGCGAAAACAATATCGGATTACTCGGTGATAACCGTGCGTCTCTCCTTCTCCGTCTCACCCGGGGGAACAAGCTAGCGGCAGGTCGCGCGCCAGCGACGAGCTGGCCCTCCCGGGAACGTCGACGATGCCTGGGCCCATGTGCGCCGTAATAAACCAGTAACATCGTCGCCCGGGAGAGCTCGGGATCCCGGCGGATCGCCCATGCGAGGAACGCTGGCAGGGACCGTAAACACGGGGGGCGGGGGGGAAGCGGAACACGCACCTGCGGCGCAAGCTGGCTTCAGCACTTCCGTGATCAAGACGCTCAGCAAGAGTACTCGCGCCGCCATATATCCACGCTCATCGGCAACCGCGTACCGGTGCGTGCGTGCGTGTGTTGTTGCGTGTACGCGCGCGCGCGTGCGCACGCGCGCGTGTGTGTGTGTGCGTGCGTGTGTATGTGATGTGTTTTACGTATGTCGTTTCACTGGTAGAGGAGCACGGCCGTGGTGCGCCGTCGTCGATTCTTCGTCGCCGTCTTCCTCGACTTCCTCGTCGTCGTCGTCGTCGTCGTCGTCGTCGTCGTTGCCGTCGCCGCCGCCGCCGCCGTCGTCGTCGTGTTGCTGGCGCGCAAAATCCGTCGACGCATGTTTGACATCGTCGGCCTCGATCGGAGCCGGGGAGGGACAGAGACAGAGAGAGGGAGAGAGAAAGATGTCTCGCTGCCGCCGGCTGTTCCGTTCGCCGAGCTGGAGCGCCCTTTCCTCCCTCCGCCCCCGCTCCGCCTCGCCGCGCCGCGCTGCTACGCCGCTATCGCGTGTGTATGCGCGCTCTCACATAGTCGACCGGCGCGGCGCGCGTACCGACCCCGCGGAGGCGTGAAAACGACCGGCGAGACCGCGGATCGCGGACGCGCGACTCGGCACCGTCGCCGGCGAACCCGTGCCCGCACCACCGCCTTCGCCGGCGTGAGAATAGGTCGTAGCCGCGTCCCGTCGTTCCTTTCAGCACGCGACACTCTCGTTCCTGCTTGCCATCTTCCCTCGGGCGTCCTCGGCGTTCACCGCCGCCTGGCAGCGCGCGAAGGAAACACGAGCGGCGCGCGAGGGGAGGACAGGCTGACCGGCGGTCGGTCCTGCAGGCACACTCTTTGCCGACACATTCGAATGTATACAATAGAAATCGCATTGGACTAACATTTTGTAAAATGTATGTTGGAATGTAAAAACGTATGTACAGTTTTGCGAATAAACGTGAATTTTCATAGATCCGTTGCCTGAAAATGGATGGATTGTAACAGATCACTTAAACGCGACGCGAGACGATCGCGTGGCGCGGAAAATAATCGCGACGCGACAGCACGCGGAACATCCGCCTCGCTCGACTGAACCGCGCCGACTAACTCGGCTCGATTAGATTGTTTTTGTTCGAGGTCTTTACGGCGCTACGTTAGTTTTTTTTTCGAACCGGCGCTCGGCGACCGTGTTGTTTACGACGCCTCGGTCTACGGTGCTACGTCATTTCTTGGAATCCGCGCTCGGTTTTCGGCGCTCGGCGAAACACGGTCACGCCGTACGCGAGATTGTTCATGTGGCGGCGACGAACGAGTCTTTCTTAATACGCGTCTGCGACAAGTACGGGGCGAAACGAATAATTAGCGATCAAATGTCATCGCGTGATTGCCGAATCCTTGCGATTCGCCATCGATGCTCGGTTACCAACAGTGATAATTACGGATTAATTACGCACGATAATTGTTTCTTTAAACGATGCTCGTATTCGGACGTCTCGTATCGTCGCATTGAGTCTCTCGTGTAGCTTCGAGTAAAATCTGTTGGCTGTTTCCAGGTTGAAAACGCGAAATGATACACGAAATATGGAATTCACGGAATTTATAAATGAGAGTGCACGTGCGACATTGAAGTTTTAATTATTTTCGGACGATTGTGTCTCGATTAAGTTATTTGAGTTCCGTTTATTGTCGATGTTAAAATGTATAATTTTCCAGATTTTCGTTCAGCAACGAAAATGTATAATCTCGAAAATTTTCTTTTATTAACGGAGTTACACAGTGCAGAACCTCGAGTCGAATTTCATCGCGAGGCGTTCAAGTGAAGAAATCGATTAGTCTTTGTAACATTTACTCATCGATAGTTTAAATTGATACATCGGCGATTTTTGTTGATTAAAATTCGCACCATCGGATTAATTTACAAGGAATGCCGAGTGCAAATAGTAACTCTGCGCAATCGTATATTTCTCGTGCTTCTTTGCCTATCGCGTGTAATCAATACTGAAGTGTTATACAAAGTGCCACGAAGTCTCCATCATCTCACGAGATTTGGCCAATCGTATCACAAAATTTCGTCAGTCATACCACGAAACGTAAGAACACACGCGGTACGAGATCGCTAACGAGAAATTAAATATGAACGATTCCCTCTTTACACTCGGTAGAAAATTCGGTAATACTGAAGGACATTATTATATATTTCCGTTTACATGTGAAATTCAACGAAGCAGGCACGGCGTATCGTTTTTTCCATCGTTTATTCGCCCAAGTTATTTCGATGCTTTTTTGTCACTCGCGCGCGCACCGCTCGTCACTTGTTTACGTCGAGCCGCCGCGCCGCCGGCGGCCGCCGCGCGCCGAGGTCAGAGAACATTCCGTCGCATTACCATTCGTACCGCCGATACAGATGCCACGGGACTGTGCGCGCGACCGCGTTCATCCGCGTAATTGAACGACGCGTCGCGACGCGTCGCGACGCCTCGGCTGCCCGATCGAGCTCTTCGATTTCGCGCGTGCCGCGCGACTTCCGTCTTCGTCTCTCGGAGCGCGCACTTCACTCGATAAATACGGGAAGTGGACCGCCGAATCGCCGGTCTACCGTTCGTGCTTGCTGCTTCGACGGAGAAACCGAATGCGGAGGAGAACCGCGAGTGCCGAATTGTCGTCAACGCGCAAGCTTATGTGCTTCTTTGTGCGAGTGACATCGAAGTGAAAAGTGATACACAATCCAAGTGAAAAGTGATACGCGATCGTCGCGCGTCGTCGACGCGACTCGCGTAGTGCCGCGCAGTGTAGCCGGGGGAGGGGGGGCAGCCGGTACCGGCGCCATGTTGGTCCAGGCTCCGAGGATACGCAGTGGATCGTTCGCCCGCGTCGACGGGATCGTCGCAACGCATTTCACGAAGGCACGCATGACGCCGGTGAGCTCGACACCGATCAAGTTTGGCAATCGCGGCGCATATTCGATACTCGTGCGTCGATGATCCACCGAGACGCGTATTTCGCGAGGAGCCGGGAATCTTCTTCCCCGTTGCCGTCGCGCCGCCGTAACCTCGCGCCACGCCAATGTACCGAGCTCCCGATTCCAATTCGTATCCAAATCCTCTTTGTGCGCGCGGAATTTCGCGAGTGACGCGCGCGGCGAGGAAAATGTTGGTGCGAAATCGCCCCGCTATCGGCCGCATTCGGTCGCTTTTCTCGGGAAACGCGCGAGGTTTACCCCTTCTCGCCGAAACGTTCCCGCCGATTTGCGCGAGCGCCATCGAGCGTATTCCCGCGCGCGATCGCGTCGCCCGCTTCTCGTTTGCGATCGAGCCCGCGTCGAATAACGTCGGGACAATTGGCTCTTTCGCGAGTGTTGCGCCGGTGCGAAACGGAGGAATCTGAGAGGAACCGGCGGCCTCGGAGGCAACGGGCGACGGCGAAGTAACCCGCTGGCGAGTGCAATTATTTTTTACATTATTCTCGCGTTAACTCCATTTCGCAGATTGTTTTATTTCCCTTTTCGTTTACCCGATTCGCCCGTTCGAACGATACACACGGGCACCGGCCGAAACATTAATTTGTACGTACGGAATAAAAAAGGAAATTTTTGTCTGTGACGTACGAAAACGTTCGCGGAAGACTCCCCACGCAGCACGGGGAACTCCCGGGGAGCTCCCGGGGAGCTCTTAAAATTGGTCATAAGCTTCACTTGAACTTCAAACGAAGCTCGCAGGGAGTTTAAATGAGTTTAACCTATCAATTAATTCGTGTTATCATATCGTCGTCCATTTAAACGAACCGCAGCCGGTTCGTCGTGTCGTGTCGCGTTCGGGAGTGCCGTTTAAAGTAATCCCAAAGACATTTCAAAGCCCATTTGAAAACTAAGTGTTTGTAGATACAGTGTTTTTTAATTTACTCGTTGACTTTAACTGAAGGCGGACGTGACGGAATTAAATGTTTCACATGGGTTTTAGAAACGGGAGTTTATAATATCGCGCGAAAAAAACGTACTTTGCTTACGCGTTCGCGAGTGTTGGAAGAGGCTCATGGGAGGAGAGGACAACCTGAGTGGAGGAGGAGGCCCGGGAAGGGCATCAGGCGTCAGCGGAGCAACCTTGCGGTAAATTATATTTTCTTTTGTATAAAATTAATCTCTTTTCCAGTTTATTATTTCGAGTTGTTTTATATCATAATTCGATAGAATTTCTAACAATAAAAAATAATATTTAGAAAACAAGAAGCAATTTTAAATTCAATAAAAGTTTATTCTCGTGAAAATCTTTCGGGGAAAATCTTACACGATATAATCCTTTACATTTCTAACCGAATAAAAAGTTCGATACGCGTAAGATTTATATTATAGTTTGCAATATTGGTTTCCTTGAACACTATTTTAATGTAAATGTTATGTTTGTATTACAGATTCAACGTAGCAACGTAGCAGATACAACTCCGCTGTTGCGCATCGGGTCGGTAAGTGCCAATTTTTTTTTACTGAGGTAACGGATCCATATTACGTAGATCGTAGAGATGTAGATCGTAGAGATGTAGATCGTAGAGACGTAGATCGTAGATTTGTTCATTTCTTAGATCCGTTACCTTAAGATGGACAGGTTACAAAAACATTATACTTTATGTAGTATATTTAATCTATCGAAGAATAGTGGAATTCATTCTTTCCTTTAATAAGACCTCTGATGTTCAACGGATCATTTAATTTCCTTTCACATTCTCTTGATTTCATGGGGCACATTTTCCATCTTGAGAATCGTTGAACACGTTGCAAAAATTACGCGAAGTATTATTGATGAAAATATATGGCGAATTATTCGATCTAATTTTTTGTAACCCATCCATCTATTTTTGACATTTTGTACATTTTACTTGATACACTTTCAAGATGCGTATTGCATGAACGACACAGTCACACGCATCTTCGCGGTCGGTTTTCGCGATCGGTTTTGCATCGAGAAAATTTTCTTATTAATTTTTTAATTTTATCCACATTATTATTGATTCCAAGTTTTCACGAGATATTATTAAAATCGGTATACATATAACGCAAGAAATTTTTTTAAATATTTAACTTACGATTTCGAGTTGAAAGAACAATCAAAATGGATTCATATCTTTAATTATGTAAATAACGGAATAGTGAAAATATATTCGATCAATTTTATGCAGTCAGTTTTTACAAAGAAAATTCTTTTTTAATTAACTTTTTCTATCGCATATTTTTCGATACGATCGACGCTCGCTTATTATTCGAATCGAGCAAATAATGACAAATCGACAATGGAAAGTTTTTCTCTTTCCTATTGGTGTCTGGTCGAAATGTGACCAGATTATATGGCCAGAAATGACAAAAGGTAGGTCCAATCTGGCCCAACGAAAAAAGAATTCACAAAGTGGTCCTTATTGACCACAAAGGTGAATTATGATAATATGTAATTTTTTAAAAAGTCGGGTGGGTTCTTTTTCTCCATTTTCTCGTATATATGCGAGATTTGAATAATTTAAATTAAATCTTAATCGCGCGCGAGTTAATACCCCAAATCTATTTCTAATAAAATCGCGTCGCGGTTTTAATTAAAAATTTGTAGACTCGTTAGGTTTCAACACGGGATGGGTAACAAAACGGACAGATAGGACTATAAACTGAAATACGCCCGGGAAAAAATTTTCACATATGATCATATATAATCATATATGCTCATATACGAAAAATGTCCATATATGAGATACCATATGTATCATATATGAACGTACATGATAATGTGTTTGTCATATATGACAGTATATATGACAAATACATTATCATATACGATCGTATATGATAATGTGTTTGTCATATATGACAGTATATATGACAAACATGTGCATCATATATGATCGTATATGATAATGTATTTGTCATATATACTGTCATATATGACAAACACATTATCATATACGATCATATATGATACATATGGTATCTTATATATGGACATTTTTCGTATATGAGCATATATGATTATATATGATCATATGTGAAAATTTTTTCCCGGGCGGGTAGGTAGGAATTCGGGTAGGCAGGGTCGGGGGATATAATTTGATAGTTTCGTTATAGACAAAATAAATTTAAATATAAAATATAAATATTTTATATACTTGTAAAGTACATTGTAAGAAAAATAAAATAAATAATAAAAATGTTAAAAATCGTATTGTAAAAAAAAGCGGACCGCCGTTGAATCGGCGGGGGCGGTGGAGGGCCTCTTTAGATTGACCTGTTTGTATCGAATGAAATTTTAAATTGGATTCAAATAATCTTTTAATTGATAAAACTTTGTTTGCATATTTACAATACGATTTTTTTTATTTGCCCATTGATAAACAATGTTATATGTATAATAGGCATAGCTACATGTTTCACATTGTAATTTCTTGTTATTAAATCGCATATCAAATGTTCACATAATGCACTCTCTTTTTCTTTTATAATGTTGTGAAAGAATTAAGTAATGATATGAAGGAAACGATTATTCCAAAAAAGAGGATCGCCGATAGAAATTGGCGGGGTAAATTGGTAAAAGGCCTCTTTAGATTGATCTGTTTATATCGAATAAAATTTTAAATTGGATTTATTATGTATAATATCTGTTTTTAAATATTCAATGTGTATATAGCTGTTCATAGTCTCTCTCTCTCTCTCTCTCTCTCTCTCTCTCTCTCTCCCCCCCCCTCCCCCTCCCCCTCCATATTAGTCCGTGATTAATAATTAATTTTTAACAACGCACCTTGTAAAGGAATTTATATCCAAATTGGAAAAGTCTCAGCCCGCAAAACCTGAGTGGTGCTTGTGTTACTTGGAAATAAAAATTGTAAACTCTGTATTAAGATAATCGATCATTAAGGCTAGTTTCCTTTTAAGAGACACAAATCGACACAAGTTAACATACTCGAGCACAGTTTGACACTGTGAAATGGCAAGGATTTAATTAAGTACAAAATTTTAAGAAAAGGTTTTGTCGAAAAAGGTTTCATCGAAATACTCAGAGCGGATGCGTTCTTCGGTCTAAACACACTCTGACTCCTCCCGAGGAGAGTCGAAAACTGTCGATTGAGCTTGAATTATAAATTCTAAATGAAAAGCGACATGTGTCGATTTGTATCCAAAATATCGACTGTGTTTTCTAAAAGGAAGCAGCCATAATATCAATTTCAGTTTCCGTGAAATCAGAGTTTAATTCAGACAGTAACGTCTTTTAATTTAATGTTGAAGCTTACATTTTCACGTATCTCAACATCACAAAAGAAATACGATATGTTACTTTCGCTTGTTGCATTTGCCTAACATTAAAATCAAATTGATATTATACTTTATATTGTGAATACTTTGTGAATACTAATACTTTCAATATTGTGAAATTTAGTATATATTTCATATACAGGGTGTCAGATTCGATATGGACAATCCCAAAGATTATAGTAGATTGGGTTAAACTGAGAAGAAAAGTTATATAAAATTTTACAAAATT